AGAGCTTACTGGCTAAACGTATAGTCAACACTGAAAAATTACCTAACAATGAGCTGGAGTGGGCAAGCACATTAAAGCTTTTGCACTCGGGCATTTTAAGCTCAGGCCACTGGAAGCCAAGACTGAACAAAAAGAAATGGAAACCCAACTGTAGCTTTGGCTCATTTATTGTGCATTCCCTCTGAAATTTCCTGCCAATCAGACTTCTCATGTATAATGTGATCTGTAGATCCCACTTGGCCAAGCCCTGCAAAATCCCCATTTTTCTGCACAGAGTGGGTCCTCGTGGGTTTTCATTGACAGAATGCAGAGCAGTGGAGCTGCTTTCAGTACACCACACCCTGGTGCATATGGACTTAACAGGTGCTCCAGTTCTTAAGCCCAGGGAGCGTCTGCAGGGATATGGCTCACATGAGATTCTTGTATTTTCAGCTTTCATTTTAAAGAAAAATAATAATGGGAAAACAACTAGCTAATATATTGGAAGAGAATAAGGAAAAGTGTGCAGAGAGTATTGTACCCTAATGGACAGTAGGAAGCAAACCGGCTCCCACCATACAGTGTTATGATAAAGGACTGCAAAAGTAATGGGATAGCTGACAAGCATTAGAGATTTGTGTGAATAATACAATTATTATTTTTTGTATCATTTTATTAAGTTATTACTTTTTCTGGTTGTTCTCTTTCATTTCCTACCACCCCAGAATCCCAGTGTACTATTTCTCACCATACATTTTTGAGTACTGCAGTTACTGTATTCACACAGCATCTCTACCCCATTCATGGAGGAATTGCTAAATATGGGGCACCCAGGCCTAGGGATTGGGGTGTTACCCTACAAGCTGAGCACAATCTAGAAAAAATGTGTGTGTGGTTCCAAGTGCCCATGAGGGCTTTGGTCTTGTGTTTCTTAAACTGCACCACTGTGTTCTATGTGTTACTTTTCAAGAGCAGTTTTTATAAGCCATGGTGAGGTCTGATATTCCAAAAGAAAAAGGCAGAATTTGCTGAAGCACCTTAAGCTGTTCCCTGTTTTGTGGACAACACACAGTGACACAAGGATACATACACCACATTCCAAGAGCATATACTGCTTGTGTCAGAGTTAAATGATTGTTTGAAATGCTAAACATCATATCAGCTGGCTGAAAACTGTGTATGTGAAGGGGATTTGGATTGTGGGTATGTGCAACCTCCCCTCCACTACTTTCAAATCTTGCAAGATGAACCACAGACTGTCTGAGACACGCATGCCAAAAAAGCAAATATATTTTCTTTGGCATCAAAGTGATGAGTGAGAAGGGAAGCCATACTTGTGATCAGATCAAAACTGCTTGTTTAGAGCTGGGGAAATATGGCTTGAAAGTCTGGGGGCTGCACCAGAGTGATGTACGCTGGAAAGAGATGCAAAGAGCAACATAACATGGCCAGGCTGGTTTGCATAAGCTAGCCCACGAATTCCTTGTCTGACACACATCTGCAGCTTGTATTTTCCCTTCATATCTCAAGCATTATCTAAATACCACCGTTTCAGCTATAACAATACGAATGTGGTAGAGTCAGAAAAACTCAGCCATTGAATTAACTGTCTTTGCCATATCTGATGCTTTCAACACTCCCACTCCCTAATACATGATAGCCATGTTCAAATATATAAAAGGATGTCACATAGAGGAGGGAGAAAGGCTGTTTTCTGCTGCTCCAGAGAAGCGGACACGGAGCAATGGATCCAAACTACAATAAAGAAGATTCCACCTAAACATTAGGAAGAACTTCCTGACAGTAAGAGCTGTTCGACAGTGGAATTTGCTGCCAAGGAGAGTGGTGGAGTCTCCTTCTTTGGAGGTCTTTAAGCAGAGGCTTGACAACCATATGTCAGGAGTGCTCTGATGGTGTTTCCTGCTTGGCAGGGGGTTGGACTCGATGGCCCTTGTGGTCTCTTCCAACTCTATGATTCTATGATTCTATGATTCTATAACATAATATAAAATAAAAGTAAAATCTCAGGAGATGAAGGGAGATGAAGGGAGTGGAAAAATGCTTGGAACACATTCAGTGGAGTTTAGCCAGAGCATCCCAAGGTACAAGGAGGTGAACTGCAAAAAGAAGAAAAATGGGAGGAGCCAGGCAGGCTGTAGGCTCTAGGGTCTGAGTCCAACCAGTGTGTGTGTGTGTGTGTGTGTGTGTGTGTGCGCGCGCGCGCACGTATTAGGGAGTGGGAGTGTTGAAAGCATCAGATATGGCAAAGACAGTTAATTCAATGGCTGAGTTTTTCTGACTCTACCACATTCGTATTGTTATAGCTGAAACGGTGGTATTTAGATAATGCTTGAGATATGAAGGGAAAATACAAGCTGCAGATGTGTGTCAGACAAGGAATTCGTGGGCTAGCTTATGCAAACCAGCCTGGCCAAGTACAGAGCCACTGAAAAACAAAGGGGAACTGAGCCAATGAGGACCACTGGCAATGAAAAAAGTTGTCCTTCCCACCCTCATCCCAAGCAGTGGACAGAGATGGGAGAATTGGCAGGTTGCCAAGGTGAGGCAGGGGCATGATGTCACAGGAAGATCTGTCCTTTTTGAAATATAATGGTTTGTTGGGAAGGAATGGGGCAGAATTCTATGGGCTGCTACGGAGGCGATAAGCAGGAAGAAAGAGGTGGTGTGTAGGATGGCTCTGAATGCAGTGACAGGTGGCAGGAAAGGACAAGCTACTCCTAAGAATGCTATAAACTACATTTCCTTCATGTACACTCAGATTGTACATATATGTTAACAAACGATATTTTTAAAGACACTGCAGACTCCGCTGCGCCTTATTTCTCCCCAGGATCACAATACCTCAAGGACAGTCTCTCCCCAAATGAACTAACCCAGACCATGGGACCCAAGGTCCTTCTTTGTGTGCCCCCTCCAAAAGAGGTCTGGAGTGTGGCAACACAAGAACAGGTCTTTTCTTCAGTGGCTCCCCAGGGGATGCTGTCCCCAGGGAGGCTCGCCTGGTGCCTTCATTACATATCTTTAGGCACCAGGCAAAAACGTTTCTCTATAACCAGGTCTTTGGCTGATTAAACAATCCATGGTTGTTTTTTTAATGTCTTTGTGGGAGAAGGGTCATTGGTTTGTTTTTGTTATATATTTTGTGTTCTCATTTTGGAACTTTATGTTGTGAACCTCCCTGTGATCTTCGGATGATGGGCAGTATAATCAATCAGTCAATCAATCAATCAATCAATCAATAACAACCTGTTACCATGTCCATGGGGGGAGAGGGCAAACGGCTAAGAATACATGCAGCTGGGTGGTTAAGAATGCATGTGGGCAGGTGAAATTAATGCAGAGCAACCTATAAAAGTATTAAATACAGGTATTATTCATATGTGTAAATCCATTTAATTGTATGAAATAATTATAAAGTGCATTATACAATATGTACTCAGTTATTCCAGTGCTTTTGCCAAAACCTGACAAGCCAGGAGCAGGTTGACTTCTTACTGAGGAATCAGGTAGAAGACAGACTGTACTATCTTCCTTGTATATCCACAAGCTCCAATGAAAGCTAAACATTCAGAAAAGGAGCCTAGAATGATAAGTTAGTGAAGCATGCAGGCTAACATACTTACCTCAGATTGGCTTTTAAAGAATAGTCTCTTTTTGGTTACTTGTCATCCCCAAAGGTAACAAAGGCTGTGTGCACCGTAACCCACTTGTAACACAAGCATAAATTTTTCTCCATCTGGAATCATTCATGTTCATCCTCAACATGCTGCTTTATGAATCTAAAATGATTCTAGATCCTGCCATCCAGGAGTGGGTGGGGTTACTTGATACACATTTGAAAACCCTTCCCTTGATGAAGCTATCCACACCTTTTCCTCCCTACAAATATCCCAGAAGAACAAAGAAGGAGGTGGTGATTGCTGTCTTGGTATATGAACACCCACAATGCCATTACACAAGTGTGGATACACACACCCCTTTGCCAGGGCTGCCTACATCTATTTTCAAATAGATGAACTACAGGGTAATGCAGACTTAATCTGCAATGAGCTTTTATTTTCTGAATGAAACTAGTTTCCCAAGAAGTGCTTTTCAGCAGCAAAAACATGCAGTAGATCTAGATTGTGTGTGGACTACATAGAAAAAACAAGTACTTCATTTCCATTGATTTGATTCTAGAATAATATGTGTGTCCTAAGCCCCCCCCCCAGCCCACTAAGTACTGAGCATGCTCAGTAGCCACAGAATGTTTAATGTCACTCAAAAGAAAAAGAAAATGGAAAAATGGGAGTGAGGAGTGGAAAGGCCTGCTTGGACTCCTTGTTTCTTATAGTATCCTGAGAGAGGGCATGGTTGGCTAGCAGGCAGAAACCTGAGAAAAACACTTCTGCTGTAAGGTGAGGATACACAGCAACATTTTATGGTAGGTCCCACTTAATTTCAAAGTACACCCCACAGGAAATTAGATGGCCCAACCTCTCCTGATAGGGGCTGAGTAGGAGAACGCTGAAACCTTCTATGGGGGTTCACAGCATACAAACCCTCCCTCCTCCCCACACAGAACCTGCTATAATGCTGACCATTTTTGCTAGTGAAATAATTGCAGATTATATCCTTTTTTTCTTTTCTTTTTTACCCCATGGCAACTTATTGAGTTGATTGAAATCATATGCTTAGAGCCATGCAATTGCAATTATTCCCAACTTGTCCTGGTAGGATTTAGATATGAGTAAATCTAGGATCCTGACCCCAATGCTTAAATCCCTTGTGTTTGTTCTTGCCCCAGTGTTGGCAGATGAAATGAGTGCCTGTTCTAATCAAGGTTCTTGTTGTTGTTGTTGCTTTTAAAAAAACCTTTCTTTCGCCCACCCATGACTCATACTCTGATTCTAGATACATTTGCTCAGCAGTAGGTCCTGCTTAACACAATGGAACTTATGGGGGGGGGGAGTGTGCAAACGACTTCTTTGTTAATCTTCTTTTCCTAAGGCTAAACATACCTCTTTCCATTCCAGCTTTCCTTGCTTTTCTTTACAGTTGTTTTCTCAGTTCTTCCTAATGCCAATGTCCCTCTGGGACTGCAAACTTGGTTCCAATTCTGAGGCCTAGAGAATAAGAGAATAGGTGAATTGTCTGTCTGTTACTGATTGAACCAAAGTCTGTAGGTATAGGGTACAGCACTAGTGTTTCAGTTCTACAGATAAGCATTTCTTGAAAATGCGCAGCTCTCTTGTGCCAGAAAAATGTATCTCGGATACTTTTGTACCTGCATGTAAGGGGGAAGAGAAATTTCCAGAGAGGAGCTCCAAGTGTTGTGTAAAGAAAAGGGAAAAGCTCCCATTAGTGGTAGACAATGATCATGCTATTGCCATTTACGCCTTAAGAGTCTTTCAGACTAGACTGCTGCAATGAGATTTATGGAGGGTTGCTTTTGAAGTCGGCCTGGGAAATGCAGATAGTATAAAACATCAGCACCCATCTGCTGACAGGTATGGTTAAGCTAGGTAATAACCTATAACACCTGTTCTGAAAACTTTGTAATGGTTACAGGTTGTATTTGGGCCCACTTAAATATTATCATCTATCAGGAACATCGTCTCTTCTGCAGTGTCTCCCGGAACTGTGATAGTGTGATAACATGCTTCCCTGAAAAACCCACTGGTGTTCTTCCTTAGCCTCTCCAAACTTTTGGAAGTTGGGTGTTTTCTTATTGTTGTTTTTGTAAGTGATTTTAGTTAGTGTTTTATTTCATTTTGTTTTATTTTTATACTTTGGATTTTTGGCAACCACCCTGAGCTCTGTTGTTCTTAAAATCTAGAAATACTGGTAATAAACAGAAGGAAAAAAACCTGGACAGCACATTCTGCCACTCTGTCTTTGGAACATGACTAAGGACTATCAGTTTGCATAATCTGTCTAAAACTCTGAAGCAGGGTGGGAAGCCCGTTCTTTTGCAGTTGGGAAGTCTACAATACTTTTGGATTTAACTGGTAAAACTTGGTTGTGGACTAACTGAGCCAGGTTGTCTCAAACTAGCAACACCATTTCTGGATCAATTTGTACATATTTTATAGGGCAGGCAGTGCTATTTTCACATCCATTTACAAAATATTGTTTGTGAGGAAGTGGGGAAGAGTAAGAGGATTTGGGGGCAACCAAGTTGAGTATGAATGTGTGCGTAAGTACATCTAATTCTGCATTGATTAGGCCTTAAATTTGGGTTTGAGAACTTCAATGCTCTATACTGTGGCAAAACCAGAAAAACTGGGAAAACCTAGCCAACTCCCAACTGAGGCTCACAGAAAATTCCTATACTGATGATTTAAAAAAGGATTGGACACAAATCTAGACTCAAGCACTAAAATTTGCCTTTGCTTCTAGCACCATCTGCTGTCTGTTCTGATTCCCAGCCTGTACAGTATATACTTCACATATTTTTAACTGTTTTCCCCATGTTTCAAGAGAATATTAATTGAAACATATGCATAACAATAGTTAAAATCAGTTTTAACAAATGACAAATGACTAACGGAGGTTAGTCAGGATGCTATGCAAGTTTACGACACTATCTAAGTGGTGATGCTATCACAGTTATATGTCTAAGTGGTGACAGGATCACTCATGAGTCCCCTTGCACAAGTAAATGCAAAATATGTGTTGGTAAACTCTAGGGAACTTGATTATGGTGCACTTTATGTAGGATTGCTATTCAGGGTTTCCCCCCAAAAAATCCAGTTTGTACAGAATGCACCAGTTAGGCTACTAACTGGGACTAGTTACACTGAACTTACCTTGCCAGTTCTTAAAAAGCTACACTGGTTGCTGCTCTGTTTCTGGACACAATTCTACTCTGTGCTGGTAAAGGTAAAGGGACCCCTGACCATTAGGTCCAGTCGTGGCCGACTCTGGGGTTGTGGCGCTCATCTCGTTTTACTGGCCGAGGGAGCAGGCGTACAGCTTCTGGGTCATGTGGCCAGCATGACTAATCCGCTTCTGGCGAACCAGAGCAGCCCACGGAAACGCTGTTTACCTTCCCGCCGGAGTGGTACCTATTTATCTACTTGCACTTTGATGTGCTTTTGAAATGCTAGGTTGGCAGGAGCAGGGACCAACCGACGGGAGCTCACCCTGTTGCGGGGATTCGAACCGCCGACCTTCTGATCGGTACTTGCCTATGAAGCCCTAAGTGGCTTGAGATCTGGGTTCCTAAAAGGACTACAATATAATGTCTAATTTCAGGGCTGGGGGGGGGGGGGAAGGACACCAGAGACACCAAGGAAGACATCTGCAGGCACATGTGCCCCTGTGGGTATCATGCTGGACAGAAATTCAGAGACAATTGCATATACGGTACTTAAGAACAGCACATAGGGCTCCATCCATGCTACAGGATAGAGATACTGGTGCCTTAGAAAGAGTTGATACTGTACATATCTGTGCCAAATCCCACTTGGGCCCTGAAGGGGTTAATATATACAGTGGTACCTTGGGTTACATACGCTTCAGGTTACATACCCTTCAGGTTACAGACTCCACTAACCCAGAAATAGTGCTTCAGGTTAAGAACTTTGCTTCAGGATAAAAACAGAAATCGGGCTCCGGTGGCACGGCGGCAGCAGGAGGCCCCATAGGTTAAAGTGGTTCTTCAGGTTAAGAACAGTTTCAGGTTAAGAATGGACCTCCAGAATGAATTAAGTACTAACCCGAAGTACCACTGTACTCTACCATCACAAGCAACATTTCCATTAGACAACAGTCAACCAGCTACAAATCCACCTAACAGTTACCTCATCCAGCCCTTATTTTACCAGCTTCTCTGCAAGAATATCATGGGGGAATTACTAAACTCAAGATACACTATGTCTACAGCATTCCCCTAATCCACTAAGCCTGTAACCTATCAAAAAAAGAAGTGAGATTTGTCTTGCATGACTTGTTTTTGAGAAACCCATGCTGGGTCTTAGTAACCACAGCATCCTTTTGTAAATGCTCACACACAGACAGAATGTTTTATTATCTGCAATGGATGATGGTATCATGGGGCCTGGCAGTGACAAACCAGGAACAAGACCTTGGGTCACAGTGGCTAGCTTGAAGACGTTGACCCAGTATATGGCAGCTGTGGAAAAGGCAAATTCTGTGCTAGGGGTTATTAGGAAAAGAATTGAAAGTAAAACTGCCATGTTATATAAATCTGTATCACAACTGCATTTGAAATACTGTGTATGATTCTCAACACCTCACCTCAAACAGGATATTCGAGGGTTGGAAAAGGTATAGAAATGGGCAACCAAAATGATGGAGAAACTTCCCTATGAGAAAAGGTTGCGGCATTTGGGATTTTTTCAGTTCAGAGAAAAAGCAAGTAAGAGGTGACACGATTGAAGTTTATAAAATTATGCGTGGAAGGTGTTGGTTTTTTTGCCTTCTTTCATAACATTAGACCCTAGCAAAACTGAATGTCAGGACAGATATAATAAAGTACTAGCACTTCTTCACACAGTGCATAAACTACGGAACTCACTCCCACATGAGGACAGTGACGGAGGATTAGGAGGATAAAGCTATTAGTGGTTACTGGCCATAACAACTGTATTCTACGTCCAAGGTCTGAGGCAGTATCCTTCCAAATACTGGAAACCACGGTAGGGGAGAGTGCTCATGCGCTCAGGTCCCACTTGCGGGTTTCCCATGGCCATCTGGTTGTGAGAACTGGATGCTGGACTAGTTGGGCCACTAGCCTGACCCAGCAAGCCTCTCTTAGGTTTTTATGTGACTCGTCTCTGGCCCTGTGGAGACCCCTAAAATGGTCAAGGTGCAGTGGGACTTTCCCCATATCAAATCCTGCACACAGTGTATATGCAACATCTTTCCTTTTCACATTTATTTTTATTTTTTTGGGGGGTGGGGAGAATATAGGGCTGAATCTTAGTAGCCCAAGCGAAATCTCTCGTTTGCCCGCAGGCACAAACACTGCACCACAGCCCTGTTCCTGCCTCAGTCCTTCTCGCAGCTCCCCTTCCCCATGCTACGCGTTCACCAGCTGTGGGTTTACCTCAGGTTTTTTTTTTTAATTTTTGTTCAGTTCTTTAAAATTCAGTTTTTAAATCTACCCGCTTCTCTCTCTCAATCCCACCATATATTTCCTCAAGCTGCTTCCCCCTCACACTCCTAGCCCCCTTTATTTTTTTCGAGCGGGAAAAGGCTTGAAGCTTCTACTCCAACCGCCTTTTTGCTTATCACCGGGTGAACAAACCACTTTCCCGGCTTCTCATTGGGCAGGCGGCGACGCGTCCAATCGCGCGCCAGGTGCCCCTCGGTCCGCTGAATGGGGTAAGCGGAAGGGGGCAAAAAACAACGGAGAGGTTGCGATTGGACGCGCGGGCTGCCCAATGCGCAAACAAGCCGATCTGAGGGTTTGGAGGAGGAGGTGGTGGTGGTGGTGGTTTGCCCTATATGAACATGGGATTGGCCCACCTCTCTAGAGACGGACGTCGGCAACCGCCAGTTAACGCGAGCAAGGGGGAGGGGAGGCGTGCTGGAATCACACTTTTGCCTCGGGCTCGCCCTCTATTGGTGGCCCTGAGCTCCATACCCTCGTGGTTAAATGTCTTGAGACCTGAGGGAGGAGAAGGTGGGCCTACGGGGGAGGAGAAAAGGGAGCGGAGGGAGGAAAGTCGGCGCCTTATTGGCCGCCCGGCTTCGGGTGCTGGCCAATCGCGCGGTGGAGGGAGAACCTCGGCGGGCCCCTTTTCTGCCACCCGGCCGTCCCCTCCCCTCCCCCCTCCCTGTCAGGCTTGGTAACGGCTGCCTTGGCTGTTCTCGCTGCGCCGTCAGAGCCAGTCTGGGCTGCAGGGTGAAGGGAGCTACCACGCCCCCCTGCGCGGTCATGGCGGGGGCAGCGCGACGCCCCTCTTTGGCCCCTGGTTTCCCTTGAAGAGGGGGCGGGTGTGTGTGGAGTGAGAGGCGCCCTTAAACCTGTGTAGGGAAGGGGATGGAGGTGAGGGGGTGGCCGAGCGGAGGGAGAGCAAGCGGCGGGGGTTGCTCTCCCTAGGGCGGGTAGGTTGAGGGGCGCGGGTCGCTGAGGGGGCAGAAGGGCCCAAGGGTGCCGCTGAGGGGGCGAGGAGTTGAGGCGCGGGGGGCGCTGTCGAAAGAGTAAGGGGTCTTGAAACGGGTGGGGGCTGCGTCTGGTGGGCTCCCCCTCCCCAGAGAGTGGGAAAGCAGCTCTTCCGAGATAGGTTTGAATAGGAAGGTGGAGGGGTGGTGGAAAGGGGTCGTCGGAAGGGGACAGCGAGGAGAAACGGGCTGAGGAGCCTGAGGAAGCAAGGCGGGAGTGAGTGCAGAGGAATTTGGGGAAGCGGACGACTCGACAAGTTCGGCGTGGCCCTGGGATACCAGAACCGGGACACCCGGTTGTGTGGAACCAACTGTTGGCCAAGCCGTGTTTTTTTTTGTTTTTTTATTTTCACATCACACTTTCCCCCCTCATCTGCCTGCCATTTCACAGTTGTTCCTCGGCAGAGAAATGATTGCCTTCAGAACAGCGACACCTGTTTGGCTCTCAGTCGGCTTAGTTCCCGAAAAGCAGAATTTGAGAGAGTCAAAGGCACCTGTGTAGTTTCTCCCCTTGGCTTTCATATATGATTGCAGATCAGGCCTCGTTGATACTTTGGAGAAATGGGGAGGAGTGTGTATGTAATAGACTGGTTCTCTCAAACTCAGCATAATAATGCAGTGTGTAGGCAATCCGAAGGGGGGGGATGTTGGTATCTGTAAAACAAACAATTTAGATGTAGGTTAATTTGTCTTTCCACTTTTTTTGTCTCAGCCCAAAGTAGCATTCAGAGGCACCAGCCGCTATTTGAATAGTGCAGAGTCCAGTGGAAGACTGACGGATGTGTTCAATAACGTTATCATGACAGGTTGCAGCTCCTTCTATGATTGCTACAAATTGCAGGTTCAGTCAGTTTTTTATCAACTTGAGATAATTTTCTTTTAGAAATACATTAGAGAGTTTTCATAATAAAGCATTATGTAGCATTACTAGCATTACACTATTAGCATGGTTCTATTTGATTTTACTGGCCTGATAATAAACACTGTATTTGAAATGCATTAGAGCTGCTTCTCATGTGATTTCTGTACTTGAGTAATAACAGGGTACTATAAAGTAAGTATCATGTGGGGGGGGCGGGATACGCTCTTTATATGTTACTCTAGTTCCGTGGTTTCCAAACTCCCACCCTCCAGGGCAACTTGAAAATTCCTGAGATTCTTGGCAGGCTACAATTATTTTTATGCCTGTTGTAGAAATTGCAGTACATTGTACTTGATTCTGTAGAATTTTTAATTTTTACCTTTATTGCTTCTTTTGGTTCTTATATATTGTATTTGATTCAAATTGTAGTCCAGTAAAACACAATATAAGAAATAAAAGAAGAAATAAAAATACAATTAAAAATCAGTATGGAGTGGCTATGTCATCTTCCACCTTAAGCCACAAATTCAGACACGCTGCAGACCACCTGAATGCAGCTTGCAGACCACAGTTTGGGAACCCCTGCTGTGCTCATAATGCTCATTTCCTTATCATCTGTGTCATATGATGATATCCAGGAGGGCAGCCGTCTATATTCAGTCTCTTGTCATATCCAGAAGAACTTGGAAAGAATGGGACTACATGAAATATTTCCCCTTCTAATGTGTTACATTTCAACACTCACTTCTAAGTACATAACTCATTATAGCTGAACTTTAAGTTAAACATATTTGAAAACTTGGGTGAAAAAACATATGCCCATGTTTGAATGGCAGTTAACTCTATTAATGTGCAAGTTCTCCAAGGAGTTCCAGAGTGGTGTGTATGGGCTTTCAAGCTGTTCTGAAAGGTAAAGAGTTCCTTTCCCCCCCAAACACTGCTTGGGCGTCTAGTAGAAGTATCCAATGTTTTCAGTGAATAGTGGACTTACTTTCTTTTAAATTATCTTCACACCCCCAATTACTGTATTAGTGTGGTGCCATGTCCTCTAGTTTGATGAGCTGATGTGCTGATTCAGCCCTGTAGATTGATGATCCAGGTTCAGAGGCAGTGTTTGACTGAATACCTGTTTCTGGGACAACAGTGTGGCAGGGCTGTTGCTTTCTTGCTCTGTTAACTAGATGGTCATTTAGTTTGAGCTAATTTGAGGGTACCTCTTACTTTCTTGTAGAGCTACAACTATATCAACTGTCCTAGTAGGCTACCTATTGTATGGAGTGCTAGACAAATACAAATTGTGATATAGAGAGGAAGGTTCATACTTCTCCATACCATGGATGGCTAGCAGTGTACAAACAAAAGGGCTTTCTCTGGCAGTACTCCATCTCTGAAACCCTTCTGAGGAAGACCAGGCATACTTTTTGCAAGGCTATGTTCAGGAAGAATTTGAAAACATTTTTATTTCTTAAGGTCATTGGAAGCGGATAGGCACTGTGGTTTCTATAACTAATCCTTAATTATTGAAAATTGTCTCAATGGGTTTTATGTTGTTAGCTGCCTTCAGTACTCTTCAGGAAGAATAGATGGGGAATAAATTTAATAAATACCCCATCTTTCAGTGAGAGAGTAGTACACAATATCTTAACTCCCTTCTGACTGCATCTGCAAATAAAATAATATATCCTTTAAAAATAAAATTTCTGAATAGCTAACTATCTTCCATTTGCTTCTCAGCTAACCATCCAGTTTTGATAGATAATTTACAGGCATCCTAACTTTTAATGGGATTTAAAAGAAAGGCTTAGCAAATTCAGTTTAACACTTGCATATTAAAAGGTACTACTTATCAGATTGTCCATAATGAATTTGTGCAACCAAAACTGCTTCAAACATTTTCGTATTCTTACTTAGCCATGAATTCTCTAGCTCAGGTGGGCAGAAGGTAGATTACTATCTTCTGAAAGATCTTGGAGTAATCTACTCCAAGTATAGTAGTTTGGCAAGTATATCTGATTCTCACTTGTTTAACAAATAAAGAAAGCTTGTGTGAGGGAAACGAGGGATTTTTAATGGAAAAGTAATGTAAACTTAGTTCTGATAGGAAAAAAATGATTTAAAAGCCTGAAATAAAACCTGCTTTAGGTCTTATACAAGTCTTGTCTCTTTAGCTCCTTAGCAGTTGGTATAGGTTGTTAGACTTGATGCTAGAATATAGAACTAGAAAATATTTCAAATTCATTTTTCAAAACATTAAAGAGAATTGTAAAATATTTTGTTCATTAAAAGCACTGTATAAATGATAATATATGTGAATGAACGACACGCGGGTGGCGCTGTGGGTTAAAGCCTCAGCGCCTAGGGCTTGCCGATCGAAAGGTCGGCGGTTCGAATCCCTGCGGCAGGGTGCACTCCCGTCGTTCAGTCCCAGCGCCTGCCAACCTAGCAGTTCGAAAGCACCTTCGGGTGCAAGTAGATAAATAGGGACCGCTTACCAGCGGGAAGGTAAACGGCGTTCCGTGTGCTGTGCTGGCTCGCCAGATGCAGCTTGTCACGCTGGCCACGTGACCCGGAAGTGTCTTCGGACAGCGCTGGCCCCCAGCCTCTTAAGTGAGATGGGCGCACAACCCCAGAGTCTGTCAAGACTGGCCCGTACGGGCAGGGGTACCTTTACCTTACCTTTATGTGAATGAACAGTCATGGAAACTGAACAAGCAATCATTTCACCAATTAAAATTCAATGCATAAGGCATAACTCAGTTTTCATTTTCAATTACTTTGATCAGGCATCACAGTGCACTTAAAAGCTTATATTTCCCATGGAGACAGAATGTGTTGTATACCACATGGGCTTAGGCATGCAGCATTACACACATTACTCTATTGCTGGATGTTTTCCCTGGACATCACACTTTCGTGCATCCAGTATACAAAACTGTGGATTAGGATTACTTCATTGGGGTCATATGATGAACATATCACCTTGCCATACTTTATTCATTTACACAAGTAAAACTGATTGCACACTGGATTCTTTAGTAATAAATGAAATCCAAATAGAATTCCCCATAGTACAAAGTGTTGTATAATAAAATTTAGCCCAACAAGTATAAATTATCTTCCACTATGCAAAATCCTGCTGAATTGTGTTAAGTTTCAGCAACAAATTCCCTTTAACTGGCAGAAGTAATAACTTACTCCTACCTCAGAGATTAATTTGGAAACACATTTTATTTAGTGTTGTTTACTGGTTTTCTTAGAAACTAGAAAACAGAAGTATGTTAAATTTGGGAAACATTATCTCTGGAACTGTGGGGGGAAATACTCTCGGGTTTTAAAGCAAAATGTAGCTATATTTGTGGTTAAAAGTCCCCGTGCCTGCACCCGTCAAAGTGGCTGAGTAATCGCTCTTTATTTGTCGCGATGTGGCTCCTTTGCAGTAGTCATGGGGATGACTAGTACTGTCTGGAATCAATTAGCTGAACTTGATGGCCTTTGGTCCTTTCCAATCAATTTATTCTCAATTTAGGAAATTAATTATGAAATTAATGCAGTAAAATAAATAATATTTTTAATATTAATTTTCTCTACTTGAATTTAAAATACAGAGTGAAGAGAATGTAGACTTACGGCAGACTTACAGTACTTCAATTTCTACAGCTTCTGAATGTGCAAACCACGCTGATTCTTCTCTTTTCTATGTCCCATGGTCTACATATGCAGATGATATTAAACAACCCCCTAGTTCTCAGATTAGTGTAAAGAACAGGTACATAATTTAACTGTTATATGACTAGGAAGAGAAAATTGTATGGTAAATAGTTTGCTTATTTTCATTGCATTAATTGCTAATTTCTACAGGACTGAAGGGTACAAATTGACAATACATGTCCCAAAAACATGATGTGTTTTTTGGAGAGAATTTGTGATGGTGGGTTTTTATTTTTCATGTTCAGAATCCATCTTGACTCTATATTTGGTGTCAGAATTGAGTTCTTTTCAGGACAGGCTAGCAACTCAGAAGTTTTTGATGTAGAATACAGCTATGCTCACTTTCTTTAATTTATATTGCTTTGATTTGTTCCATATATTGTAAAGGTGTCCGTCAGGCACCAGCCACTTCATTCTGTTCTTACCACCTATTTATAGCATATGAGAATGAGTGACTCCTCTGAAGCTTTCCTGACTGGTTCTGGGTGGGTGTGGAAATCCTGAGCCAAATTTAGAACTCAGGAAGGGGTCATTATACCCTCTTCTATACCCCAACCACACTCCCCTTGCCCATGTTATTGGTAGGAGCAGCAGAGGCTATGGGGGAGTTGAAAAGAAATACTTATTTCCTTTTCTCACCCCCTCAGTCTAACAGAGGCTGTAGTTATTTCAAGAGCTCCTGCAGTTGCATGAACTGCATCTTCCATAGTTCACTGCACCTCATCACACTTGGTATAATCTACTGCAACACATCAATGAGGGCAAAAGAAGAGGGGAGCAAGCGAGGGAAGAGAAAAATTATTTGTGCTTCTGTTGTTTTTCCACTGATGGAGGAAGGAAGAATGTGGGAAGGAAGGGTAATGTTCAGAGTGTGTAGCAGGGATGGCTTTAGGGTGTAGAGAGGAGTGGCAGATTTTTATTTGAGTGGGAGAGGAAGTTTGGAGTATGTAAAATAGGTGTGAGGATCCTTTGGCCCTCTAGATATTGTTGAGCTACAACTCCTAGCAAGCATGGCCAATGGCAATGAATGATTAGAATTAGATGGCTGAAGTTTCTCGACATTTGCTATAAAACATACCTTTCCTTTTGGTGGCCGAACAAGACCCAAGACAGTGATTTCTGTTCCTATTTGCAAACACATGATATCATCTTTCTTCAAGAAACTTGGGCAAAAGAGGGCAGTATGGTTGAATTACAGGGTTTTACAAGTTACACCTTTCCTTTTGAGGTGGGTTTTCCAATGCCCTGAAATATTCTTCTGAGCCTGGCTTGGGAGAAATTTGCCAGCACCACTAGAACTGGGTTAGTGTACGGCATATGTCAAAGGATAGAGGTGTGATTTAGATGATCTTGAGATCCTGGTATAGCCGATTGAATCTATGGATCCTTTATTTGGAAACTTTCCCAGTGTTTCATTCTTCCATGGAAATTTTCTATTTCATATATTTATTAGCAACAATGAATGGGAGCCAAATGCAAATACAGCATTGTGCAAATTCAATATTAGGCAAAGTTGGCAATTTCACATTTCTAGCTTTGTTTATTAAAGTAAAATAAACATGGCCAGTAAGATCAGTCTAGGGCATAAGAAAATTGATACAAATTACCTGAGTTCAAAATCTTGTGTTAAACCACACCACTGTTTATCAGTTGATTTACTTACAACATAGTAACATCATTTTTCTTCCTGCTGTCCAAAATCTTACAAGAGCTTGTTTAGCTGGGCTGCCTCAACTTGGAGTGGGGAAGCTGGTTCACCAGGCTTTTACTTTTAGCTCACCATGCTCTTTTGGGCAAGCCATGCCTACCTGCTCCATCCATGACATCAGGTGTGAGGCAGGTAAGGGCAGGGCTTCAAAGGAACAATTGGGAGCTTAAAATGAGTTGCCAATTCTTCCTTTGCTACAGCAAGACATGTTTTTACTGCCCATTAGCTGATGGGTTGCAGAGGCAGCCTTGCTCCAAGAGGGGTAAGCAGTTCTAAACTGCTGAAAAACACAGGTGGGCGGGACCTCCAGTTTATCAGCAGTTTCAGTGGAAACCATTTCTCCATCCCTGTACTGCTTCTTCGACTTCTGACAACCAGAGGTTCAAGGAGTAGTGTGGGACTGTTTGAAAGCTCCTTTGCAAGCAGCCCCACTCTGCTGTTTGAACCTCCTGTTTTGAGAGGTTCATGTAGCAGCACGGAGCTATTTACAGACTTTGAAACAGTCCTGTGCTGTGCTTTGAAGTCAAAGCTCAGTGTCACCTGATATCACGATGATGGGTGAGTGACAGGTGGGTGGACCTGCTCATCTGTCAGATTTGGCCCAGCAGGGGTAGGGAGATAAGGATCTGACCCACCAACCAGAAAAAGTTTCCCACACCTGTCCTTGGGGTTTGCCTGCAGCAGGGATGAACACATTGTATGTGGTTCAAGTCTGCATGCAGTCAAATATGCGCAGTCTGCATGCGAGGCGGACAAGTTAAATTATTGAATCATTGGTATATTCCACTCATCGACAGGTTTAACATGCTGTCATTCATAATAGTCTGCGGGAATTCTGAACCGCAGGCTCTCATGATATGTCTTAGTGTACAATGTACTATAAATAATCTGAACGGAAAAAGAACTTGCTGGGCTTCAAGTCAGCATGATGGTTGTGATGTGGGTCTTTGACAGCTTGGGAAGCCGCACAGTCAAGAGGTTAAAGGGATTTTGATTCTCTTACCCCTTTTATAGATGGTGAAATGTTTCAGTGGTCTACATTCAGCCTTTACATTCCATGCTAGCTCTCAAACAATCTGTTAATGTGTGAGATCTTTGTGGAACACAGGCAGTTCTAAAAGCTGCAGTTCCAGGATATTGTTGATTTTTTTGGTGGCAAATGTTATAGCTAGAAATAATAGAAATGTAAATATGAATATAGGCAGACATTCTTAGCAAATACTTAATCTACTTTTCTCACCCCACTTAGGATTCAAACAGAAAGAAATGACTATGGCAGTGAAACAGACTTATATGGACTTGTGTCTAACATCTTGGAAGAACAAGATAAATCTCAGCCATATTTTACTGACGGGTTGGTAATATATTCAACATAGGATAGTAATTTCCTACACATCTACTCACTTTTTCCAACTGCTCTTGTTCCACTGAGAATATCCTGCATCTGCCATCAGTGGAAGCTTGTAATTTCTGCTGCCATTATCAAGAAGGCAGTAATGCATATTAACCTGAATCTTACATTTTTTATTAGTGTATTTGTGGTTTTGGCAAGTACTTTAAACAGCTTATTACACATCATTCATATTCATATATAAAGATGTGCATTAATTAAGTGGTATGCCAACTACATGCAGACCTCAAGTATCGGTTTTGACATCCCCCCCCCCAAAAAAAAAAAGTTTAGTGTGATCCAGCTTGATACATGTCTCTGGCTTTCACAGTCTTCATTTGTAATTATACCAATAGCTCTGACAACACACTGGCCATGGGACATACCAAAAGTAAAAACAAAGATTAGCATAATAGGTTAAAATCTATGTAAGGAATTGTGCAACTGTTTATGTTTCATTCTTGTAGGGCGTGCGCCTCCAACTTAAAATCAGTATGGCCTGTGAGCACAACCCGATTTACAGACCACCCTGACCTGCTGTCGGAAACAAAGAGGCCAATAGATGGAGCCATCCCTCAACAGACTTTTTATGGTGGAGAAACTTTGCCCGTGTCTGACAAACAGTATATGCATGCTGGTCCTGTAGCATTGCAACAGAAAGTGGATGACCTTTACCATGGGCTCACTAACATCGACATTGATGAGCAATGGCTGTACCCTTCCAGGAATGATCATGTCAGCTGTTATAATATTCAGAACAATGAGAATGCAAAGACACCACAGTTTCAAGACTATTCATATGTGAAAACATGTTTTGCCCCACAAACCAGTCTTTTAGAAGCAATAAAAGAATCAGGAGCAGATACTTATGCTTATGGAAGGGATAAGGTAGGTCCTAAAGGACATGATGCACAGGTGCACCAAAAGAGAGCTGAGATGCTTCTTTCACAATTTAGTAGATATGGTGAAAGTGCAGATTATTGTAGATACCTGGATTATTCTCATCCAAATAAAACAAAGCATAATAAAAATGCAAATTATAGTGTTCAAGAGAGTAAAAAATTACCAAGTGGAACACCTGAGTTACCAGCTTTAGATACTGATAATTATAGTAAACTTTTTCAAAATAAGCCAGCTGTCCAGAAGAAAATGGAAGATGTCTCTTCAGAACAGCAGAATTTTACATTTCAAAAGACTACCGGACTCATGTCAGAAAAGCAGTTTGTGAATGAAAATTCATTTACCCCTGACTTTGGTTTAAAATCAGATTTTGCCCTCAAATCTCACACAGCTGTTTCGGGGAGTGGTGATTTTGCAAATGCTACAGAAAATTCAGAATATTTCAAATCACTGAATATCTTATCAACAAACCCAGTAACTTCTTCATCAGGCACAAATCTAAGGCCAACATGGATCAACATACAGACTAAAAACAGTTCCTCCATCCCTATTCGGAATCAAAGCACCTTGATAAAGTTGAATAATCATTTAACTGCTGGTTCAAAAGGTTCCAATCATTCTTATGATTTTTCTCAGTTGCCATCAAGCAATGCAACTTTAAGCAATAATTTGTTGCTCCAGAAATATTGCCAAGAAAACCCCACAGTATTTTCCGGTTTTGATTTCAATGATAGCAACGCTGGAGACAGAGTTCAGTCTGCCAGTCATACAGAAGGACTGGGTAAGGTAACAGAAGAAAGTCTTTTTGAGTCCATGATTGACAAAAAAATAAAACCAAATGGTTTTTGTGATAACTATACGCAGCAATACGGGATCATTGAAAATGTGAACAAGCACAATTTTCAAGTTAAATCACAGAATGGACATTATGATGCCGAGGACGGACAAAAACATCTAGATGGACTGTCACAGAATACTTACCAAGATTTACTGGAGTCTCAAGGTCACTTCAGTAGTCACAGGCAAGGAAGTGGAGACAATATTGTCAGTAACCGTGTGAACCGCACTCAGGCTTCTTGCTTTTCAAACAATTTCATGATGGGTGACTTGAGGCACAGTCCAAGTGTTCCACAGCTTAATTCAAACAGATTTCCTTTGAAATCTACCCATCCTTTTGGGCATTCTGTCATTCCCCTGATGGATTCCTATGATTTGTTCTCCTATGATGATTTAAGCCACTTGTACCCTTATTTTAATGATATGATGTACGGAGACAATTCTTTCACAGGCTTCATGCCAACATTTGGATTTCAAAGACCAATGAAAACTAGGAGTGGGTCAGCCAGTGAACTTCATATTAGGTTGGAAGAATGTTATGAACAATGGAGAGCTTTGGAGAAAGAACGGAAAAAGGTAAGAAGAAACATGCATATCAGAAGGGAGTACAAAACAGGGAGTAGATACAGCAGTGAACAGAATCTTTGAAACTAATAAGTATATTGAGTAGTTTCAAATAATTCTGTTTACTACTGTATCTAAGAAACAGAGGGATTAGGCTAAGCTTATAGGAACAGCTTGATTATCAATGCCTAGGACCAGAGACAAGGAACAGGTTTGGGCTGCTCAGTCTTCAGTCCTGATCAATTGGAAATTGCTGGCACAGTTGTTTAAACCAGTACTACTTTAGAGAGGTCAGGGTCTTGTTAAACTGTTCGGTAATCTGATCCTGGTTAAAACAGCCTCAAGCTTGTCAGAAAACATAAATGTAGTGCAGGTCCAAGAACTGATAGTTTTGATTGCTGCAAAATCTTTTTGTGGACCACTTGAATAGAATTTGCAGGCAAGAGGCAATTTAGTTTCTAGCCTCTAAAGCCCAATCGAAAACAATACTTCTGACAGTTTTCCTAACATTCCACAATTCTATTCTAGCAGCCTCCTTTGAGCTCACATTCCTGCATTTTTGCAACATAGTAGCATTTTAGAATGTCACTTGTGCTTGCTGGAGCTAAATCCTTTACTTAGCTGTATGATGCAGCTTTGATTGCGTGTTAAAAGACCTACCGTATTGGCCCCGATAGAAGCCTCCCCGGAATATAAACTGCTCCCTTAAAATTCTGCAGGCACTCACATCACATCCGTTCTGTTTTACCGTATGTCTGTTTCAGCAGTGATATCGTAAAAGCCAATTTTTGTAAGGTCGCAAATTTAAGCCGCACGTTAACTTTTCACGGTCGGAATTTGTAAAAAAAGAGGCTTATACTCAGGCCAATACGGTATATACATAATGCATATTCTAAATTGTTGTGATACGTTTTTAGTTCTAACACTGTTCCAATATAATTGGTGTTTGGAAGTTAAAATAATGGACATTAAAATATGCCCATTTTACTTTTTGAAGGCTCTGAATGTAATTTATGGTCTGTTAAAATTAGTAGGGAAACCTTCACACTGACCATTGTAGATCTAAATTGTACCTTTTCTACAGAATGCTGCATAATTCTTATTCTCTGCAGGCAGCATGGCAACAATTAGTTAGTTATTTTGCAATACTTTGGGTAACAATATTTATGTTTTGTTTTCAATTTGCTCCCTCAGCTGCAGGTGTGTTTTGCTTCTTGAGATCTTGAATTATTCTAGTCCAGCTCAACACCCTTTGTCAAATTAGAAATAGGATGCTGAGTTTTGTAAATATAGGTTACTACACTATTTTTTATAAATAAAGGTTACTACACTATTTTTTATTTTCAGGAGTTTGGGTTTGGCTTCACAACTGAGATGCCACTAATGGCTGTGTTTCAAGTACAGTAGATATCCTCATCATTTGTATCCCAAAAGAAGAATAAATCAAGTTTCCTATAATATACTCCCCATAATTTACCGTCTTTAACATGACAGATTAATTGTATCTTTTCCAGACTGAATCAGCTCTTGCCAAGAATTACCCTGGGAAGAAAGTGTCTAGTACTAACAACACTCCAATTCCAAGACTGACATCAAATCCATCCAGAGTTGATCGCTTAATTGTGGATCAGTTACGAGAACAAGCCAGAGTGAGTTATTTAATGTCAAAATACCAAATTTTGACTAGTTTGGACCCTTCACGCCCAAGACCTTATCAGCCTCTTCTGTTCCCCAAACTGGCATAAGTATGCCTCTAATTCTGTCTCTCCTGAACATCAGAATTGTGATGCTAGATGTTCCGAACACAAAACATATATGGTTGTTGGAGAGTATCCACATATGGGTTGTTCCTCCCAATTGTTCCAGTTGGGAGGACAATGCAGAATAGCTTTGTGTACTCCATTCTGTGTGAGGCAGAGCCAGTCCTAATTCCAGTTCTATCTGTCTACAATTTACAAAACCTTGGCAGAGGCAACAGATTAAAAAAAGGAGACATTTTGTCTGCTTCTTGGCTTCAGACCCCTACTAGACTGGTCTTCACAGCATAGGAAACCCCAGCAGTGCCTTCCCTGATCCTCGAGCCCTTTGGGAAGCAGAAAGGTTAGAAAGGCAACGCACTCCAAAGTCGGACCATTTCATCCATTCCTGAAAATTGGAACAAATCACACACAAAAGTGAAATGAAAACACAGGGCCAAACTACATGTGTGCAATGGAAGCTCAATGGCTTCTTCTTTGCTTTGCTCCAAAAGCTGCTTGAGAAATGGCAAGAAGGAGGCACTTAAACCTGTCTCCATCTCAAATTACCTCTCTAAGTGAAATATGACCACCTTAATGGGGCTGAAGTTCCAGGCAAGTTGGGAGAAGTGATGTAGTAGATCAGAGGGCATCAGAGATGTCCTGTTTCAGTCTTGTAAAGCAAGGATTGGATTAGTACCCAGTGCACATGAACTCACATCTTACGGCAGGCTGCACACAAGAATACCTGCACATTCAACTGTAGAAAAGGTGTTTGGTTGTAGGGAGTGGGAGCTGGAAAAAAGGGAGAAAAGTTCAAAAAGTTGGGGAAATGATTATGTAGTTTGGTTCATAGGCTTCTGACCTACTTTGGATTACTTGATTACCAACGCAGCGCTTATCTTCTGAAAAGTAATTTCATAGGGAAATCTGGTCATTTTTTCACCATGCATTTCTTTTGAGGTCCTGATCCAAAATAGGTTATCAAAACTTTTCCTTTGCTTTCCTGGCCAAACCTCCTGGCACTGTCCTTTCTAAAGCTGTCAGTGTAGTTCTTAATCTGTTTTCTGTATGTTCCCACAGCCAACCTGGTAAACCTCCTATATCCTAGTCTCCTTTCCTTGCCCCCAATCAAATCCATATGTTCCTTCGTTGAGTTAAACCAGATATATTTCTTTGCCTTAGAACTGCATGGCTTTGCTGGCATGAAAATGTGGTTCTCTCATGTAAAAACCCCCAATAATTTAACATAATTCATTGGGAGCTGGGATTTTTTCCTTCCTTGGTGAATTTAGTTTCGATTGATATATACATACAGGCAACTCAAAAGTTCAAGAAAGGGCAAGGATGTAACAATTCAGAAGTGTGCCTTGAATTTATGCTATTTGAATTTTGCTATACTTTGGGGAAGAACTTGGTTGTGCCTTGCTGGATTCAAGAGGGTAATTAGCAGTGAAGGCTGATACATTAGAGCACACCCATCAGTCTTGGTTTCTCCAAGCCTACTTGCCTTCTCATTTACAACCAGTTCCAGAGGGAGGCTGTGGCCGTCTGCTTCCCCCTTAGCTTCAGTTTTCCCTTTGTGGAACTCAGCAGAGGAGGATGGGAACAGAATTAGTTGGTGCCACCTCCATTTGGTGTTGCGCCCCTTTTAAAGCAGAGGTTGTATGGCCATCAGTCAGGGGTGCTTAGTTGCAATTCCTGCTGCATTGCAGGGGGTTGGACTAGATGACCTTTGGTAACACCATCCAAATCTACATTTCTATGATTCCCACCCTACAAGTCCCAGTGACCATCTACCACCACTGGTGATAAAGTTTGTAGCTTAAGAAACATGGTTTTATATTTATGCATTGTGCCTTGATAAACTGATAATTTAAAAAAAATCAGTAAAGCAATGCACTATAATTTCCTAGAACTAACCTTTAACTAAACCACTGGTGTACAGCTGAATTAAACTTCAGTATTACATTATGGCTTTGGTTCTAAATACCCATTAGAATTGTCTAAGACTACAGTATGTTGTTAAAGTGAATTAGGAATCAGCCTTTTCAGTGCCAGGATAGCATTACTTAGGAACCCTATATAGGTTTATGTTAAGATTATTTTGAAATCAACAGGGTTCAAAACTTTAGCTTCTCATTTGCATCAGATGACCTTGAAACGCTTAGATTAAAAACCCCATCTTGCTATATGACTTGGGGATCTGCTCTTTGAGAAACACAAGACCAAAAGCTAGTTACATGGTTCTGATTTAAATGAGATGTTTGTAGCTGTGGATTTATAGACAGACATCAAGAGACCTTATAAGAACTGCTTTATAGGAAGGAAGAGAACTATGAAAGAATTTAAATTGCTGTTCTTTAATATTTGCAGGTTGTGACTCTGCTGGGAAAAATGGAACGCCTGCGAAGTTCTCCTCTTCATGCTAACATCTCTACTGCTCTTGACAAGCACCTGGAAGCAATTCACATTGTGCAGTCCCGTAGAAAGGATGAAATTGTCAATGCTTCACATCGGCAAAGACAAGGAGCTCCCAGATGTCAAGATGATAGAGGTGCACTTTTCTTTTAATATTTGTTCTCCCAGTTTCTCTGCCTGGAGCCGTTTTAGGGCTTTTGTCCCAAATAAGAGAGGCATGTTTAATATTTGTTTGAAATTTACACACCTAGCAAAGAGTAAGTACATTGTGTACTAAATAACAATTTCCAAAGTAGTATTAGATTCAGTAGGATTTCACTAAGGCTGCTTTGGAGTAAATGATTTGAGCACTACAATCCAAGAATTGCTGCGCAAGCAAATTCTTTTGACTATGGTGTATCGACTGCTAAATCAGCTTACTGCCATATACTGTAAGTCTCCCCTGGCACTTTTGGGTTTTCATTACAGTGCTAAACATTGGTACAGTGGTACCTCAGGTTAAGTACTTAATTCGTTCCAGAGGTCCATACTTAACCTGAAACTGTTCTTAACCTGAAGCACCACTTTAGCTAATGGGGCCTTCTGCTGCTGCCGAGCCACCAGAGCATGATTTCTGTTCTCATCCTGAAGCAAAGTTCTTAACCTGAAGCACTATTTCTGGGTTAGCGGAGTCTGTAACCTGAAGCGTATGTAACCTGAAGCGTATGTAACCCGAGATACCACTGTACAAGATTCAGAGTTGAGATGCCAGATTACTTGATGCAATGAATCCAGAATGTCTTCTGGAATTAAGGAGTGGTATTCCATCATGTACGTTGGTTCTTCTTTTGTGCTGTTCTTTTTTACCCAGGGGTCAGCAACCTTTTTCAGCCGTGGGCCGGTCCACTGTCCCTCAGACCATGTGGTGGGCCGGACTATTTTTGAGGGGGGAAATGAACGAATTCCTATGCCCTACAAATAACCCAAAGATGCATTTTAAATAAAAGGACACATTCTACTCATGTAAAAACACGCCGATTCCCAGACTGTCCGCAGGCCGGATTGAGAAGGCAATTGGGCTGCATCCGGCCCACGGGCCTTAGGTTGCCTACCCGTTTTTACCCACCATCTGAAACAGTGGTAATTGGAACATTCTGAATTATGTTAGTGGAATGCAGAAAAACAACAACACCCCACCACTCTTTCTTAAGGAGAATTAGGAGACCCAAACTCCTTTAAGGAGCGAGAACTTGTACGCACAGATGTCTTCTGCACTCACTACTTACAAGGGACTTCATGGAGAATTTAGTCTCTAGGCCCTGCCAATAGTAGGATTTCCCAGCCTTTCATCATCCCTAAGAGATGTTTATCCTTTATAAGAAAACTATCAGTTGTTGTTTACATGACTTGTAGGGAAAGCTGCTTCATTCACATTATGCTTGACTGATTAGCTCAGAAATCTTTATCTCCTTGAATATCTCTTGCAAATGGATTATTGAAATAATGGGAGGTATGCAAAAACACAAATGTGAGTTTAGCTGTTTAGCTGTTCTTTTTTGCTTCACTGAGTCTTTGAAGAAGTTCCTTGTGGATTGCGTTCTTTAGGGGGAGAATGTGTATTTGGCATTCATAATTTGCATAACTTGCATTTCTACCACTGTTCAAACTGACAGGAATTATTCTTGTACAACAGCCAGTGAAAGCAGCAAAACATTAATGCAGTTTTCTGTGCTAAAGTACACAATTTTGAACACTTCAAAAGAGTAGCAACATCAAATATTGTTTCCCCCCCCCCATCTCAGATGTTTTTGCTCTTGCGTTGGCCATTAAAGAGATGTGCACAGCGACACGCAAAGCTCGCACTACGCTGTGGTGTGCTCTTCAGATGACCTTGCCAAAAACAACCCCGACAACTGGAACAGCGGAGGTGGAAAAAGCCTTACATGAGCTAGTCCTACCTGAAGATAAGACCTATGAACAGATGAATAGTGGCAACCCTGCGATCCAGAGGGGAGAAACAAAAAAACATTGAGGAAAAAATAGAGATAATAGATATGGATGTATTATAGCACTGTACTAAATATTGTAAATGAACTTTTAAAGCTTTCCTTCCAAATTAAAAGTAAAGAGATATGTGAACTGAAGTTTGCTTATCCTAAACCCAGCAGCTACCTGCTGAGTAGCTGTTAACGCAAGCCAAGAAGCCTTTGATGTTATCAGAATCAATATATTGACTGGGCAGATCTAACGTTATGTTAAATAAACCAGAAAGTTTTAAACTGCCAAAGTAGAACTTAAATCCATTCTACAGTGCAGGCATATGCAATGATCATTCTGCCTGTGTGATACAGTTCTTTTAGATTTCGTTAGTAATTCTGTTTTCAAATAATGAATTTGAATTACTGTCACATGTTACTGTGTGCAGTCTAGTAACAGATAAGTTTTGATTGTGATAGAAAAAGAATTTGTTCTCTTTAGACAATGAGTACCTGGAAACAGGAAGGAAACAAAGCTAAACATACCCAGTATGAATGTTAAATGAAAATATTTAAAAATACTTATTTATGAATTTGAAATCTTAAGAATCTAAAAGAAATTGACCAGATTTTCTTAAATTAGTGATATTATATAAAGCCATTATCTAACCATGCATGTTAGGGAACATTAAAAAAAACTTGCAAAAATCATTTGTACCTATTTTAAATAATATCAATATTATCTGTTAAAAGTATTTAAATGTGATCAAAATTACATTTATATAATTGAGCCTTTAGCAGTTGCACTGCAGCTGAAATAATGAATATTTTAACACCCTTGGTTTACTATTTTTAAAGAGGGTATCAAGAAGTTTTGAAGTGCACTTTCTTTGACGTTAACTCTGTAGCCAGTTCGGTTTGAGATTGTTTGGTGTATATTTTGTTTTCTTAGTTTGCTTCTGCATACTTTAGCACTGTTGAATGCTTGGTTTTTTTCCTTAATATCTGATCTTTTTATTGTATGTGAGTAATTTATTCAATTAGCATGTTATTATGTGGCTCAGGAGATCTTGGGTTTTAACAATCTAGCATGAAGATAAATACATAATGTCTGGATAAAATTTACTTATCTACCCTTGGTTAGGTACACAGATATTTTAAACATCTGTGTTCTTCCAACTTTTAGAAATCCCAGTATGCTAAAAAGTGTAATCAAACTACAAATTGCCTTTAGATGATGTAAGGGACTGATTGAGATTGCAGGAGAAACTGTAGGGGACCATTTTGATCATTGATACGACTTTCCATGCTGCCCACATAAACTTCATAAGGCAGCAGACTCATACCACCATACCATAGTAGCCACAAAGATGGGTTGAGTTTTGACATTGATACGTTACATGTTATGAAAATAAATATTGTACTATCTTTACTCTCGCCTAATAAACTGGCTTTTTGTTGAAAAGAACGCTACCGTTTCTACGTTTGTACTCCTATCTTTGGAAGTAATTCAGGCTCTTGCTATCAAGAGTTTTATGTCAACCCAGGGATATTCATAGCCGATCATGTCCCTCTTTGTTTTATCATTATTTCCAAGACTGACCGTGAGTCACCACAATTATAGAATGCCTTCCCTTTTAAACAACTTGACAAAAGTCTGATCTGAGCAACTTTTAGAAACCATGCAAGCCATTTCTTGTGAAGATGTAGGTGCTGAGGTTAAACAGGCATTCTGGAAGACTGATGGCTACAATTGTCGATCTGTACCTAAATTATAGACAGCTGCATACTAGAACACAAGGCAATACTCTCCACTTCATTTTTTGAAGTAAAATTTACAAGCTTCCAGAAGTCTGAAAGTCACATTAGAAAGAACTTCAAGTCCTTAAGGCAGAATGCCCTCTGTAAGTATCACCCATGAGATGCCTAGGCAGGCTTTTATGGGCTACACCTACAAAGATATGCAAATGCCATCTATTAGTTGTCATTCAGATATTAAGTGCCTTCTCTACTGTATATGGGATGCGGGTGGCACTGTGGGTTAAACCACAGAGCCTAGGACTTGCCGATCAGAAGGTTGGCGGTTCGAATCCCCGTGATGGGGTGAGCGTCCATTGCTCGGTCCCTGCTCCTGCCAACCTAGCAGTTCGAAAGCACCTCAAAGTGCAAGTAGATAAATAGGTACTGCTCTGGCGGGAAGGTAAACGGTGTTTCCGTGCGCTGCTCTGGTTCGCCAAAGCAGCTTAATCATGCTGGCCACATGCTGGCTGTACGCCGGCTCCCTCGGGCAATAAGGCGAGATGAGCACTGCAACCCCAGAGTCAGTCACGACTGGACCTAATGGTCAGGGGTCCCTTTACCTTTTACTACTGTATATGGCCCACCTTTAGTTATTGATACAATAATGTGGAACACCCTAGAATCCACCTGAGATGAGTCTTCCATTTTTCCTTCCAACTCCTTGTTCACCAAACTTAATCCATCTACCGAAAGCAGTTTTGTTCCCTTGGCAATAAACAGCTTTCTATAAATGAAATCATCCTTGATAGCGCAAACACATACCAAAGATGGAGGGAGGTCCATGATGGTCCTGTTTTCAGAGGGCTCAATAGGTGCCTCATGAAGAAGACATAATGTCCTTGGTGCCTCATACCTCAAGGACAGCCTTCCTGTATGAACTGACCCAGACACTATGATCATCACGTGAGGCCCTTCTTTGTGTGCCTCCTTCATGGGAGGTCTAGAGGGCGGCAACAAAAGAGTGGGCCTTTTCTGTGGTGGTTCCATTTGTAGAATGCTCTCCCCAGGAAGGCTCGCCTGGTGCTTTCATTACATATCTTTAGGTGCCAGGTGAAAACATTCCTTTTCTCCCAGGACTTTGGCTAATAAAACAATATGTTCTTTTAAATGGGGGGAGGGTAGTGGTTAATTTTTGTTCTTGGTTTTATTATTAATTTTCTCATTTTGTATTTTCGTGTTGTGAACCGCCCTGTGATCTTTGGGCAGTATATAAATTTAATTAATTATAAGACAGAATGTGACCTTGGCAAACCAAGATTAGGAAGTTCTTTTACCACTAGACAATTTGCTCCATTTTCCTGGTCCCAGCCAAGCCCTCTCTTTTTCGTTCCCACCCAGGGCTACATTGTGCCAGGGTTTAGCTCAGAAACCTGTTTTCTCAAGTCTGATGGCAGAAGTTCCTCCTTTTCCTTCACTGAAAATCCCAGGTCCCTTTTTTTCCCCAGCAGCTTCAGAATTCTTCCACAGAGCTCTCAAAGAAAAAAAGACTAGCCTGATAAAAAGTCTGAATGAGGCAGATTTTAACTCTTTAAGATGGAAAGGGAAGCAGCACCACTAAGATCCTCCAGTTTAAACTTAGTCATATACCCTTCACCCGGACTCATTCTCCTGCTTGTTCTGCCATTGTCCTTGGGGTACCGGCATCTGGACTAGAACTGTGCAATATCTTGATATACTGTCCAAAACCATTTTGAGTCTGTATCATGTTAACGGGTTCATGTTTTTGACCTGGCAATATATTGTGAATCATGGTGTGTCTGCGCACTATGCAGAAATCACCATCTGGGAGAAACAGTGAAGCCAGCCAATGCCTCTATGTAGCTCCATCCTTATTTCAGACATTGTGATATATCGCAATGTTGAAAACCAAATATTGCCCAGCCCTAATCTGGACACTCTGCCCTTAGCTTCACTATCTTCCAAGAGTAAGGTAAAGGTAAAGGACCCCTGGACGGTTAAGCCAAGTCAAAGGTGACTATGGGGTGCAGCGCTCATCTTGCTTTCAGGCTGAGCGAGCCGGCGTTTGTCCACAGACAGCTTTCCGGGTCATGTGGCCAGCATGACTAAATTGCTTCTGGCACAACGAAACACCGTGATGGATCCACACAGCTCTCCCTTTCACTGGGAATTTTAACCCTGGCAAACTATCATTTCTCACACTCTGGGCTGTGAGCAACCTGTTACAAACAGCTTTGGTCCCTATGTCCCTCTATTCCAGCTCAGCTTTACTGCAGTATACGACAAAGAGCTAAGGATTCAAACATGTCACGTGCTAATAAAATTCACAGAACTTTACTTAGATGGCAATAATACAACCTTGTTGAAGTTTACAGAGATTTACTAGCCCAGCCCCAAATGAGAAGAAAAAGAAACAAAAATTAGGTGACACTTGGCTGCAGAAGATTACGGGTGCTGCACTAGGCTCTTAATTCAACTTCATAAAGGGTGTTGCCTCTCCCTGGCGTACATATGTAGGAAACTGGGTTTCATTCACAGTTCCACCAACCAAAAGCAACCTTTGGCTAGAGTGAATATATAAAGGGGTTTCCAAATACTTCCCTCAACCATAGTTTCCCCGTATGTAGTTAATAAAAATAGAAAGTGACGAAGGGAGGGGGAAGGCAGCCACCACACCGTTCTTTGGTTACAGATGTTGGCCACGACCACTGAGCCCAACAGATTGGACAACAAAAATGTGTGTGTAGTTTTCTTTCAGTGCTTCAGAGGACTCCCTTCACCCCTCCCCACAGTCCTTGCCTAGGACAGATTTGCAGCTTTGAAAGCCAACACACACCAAAGTGTTTGAAAGGATTCCTTCCTCTGAGCACTCTGGGTCTGTGTGCATGCTGTGCCATATAACAGACAGAGGGGAGGGAAGAAAAGAGAAGAGTCCAGCTGTAGTTCCATGCTACCGCTTCCTCTCGCCTTTCTGTGTTCTCTTCTTCTCTTTCTCCTTACGTTCTTGCTTAGCCAACTTGTCCTTCTCCCGCTGGAGTTTGTCTTGCTCCTTCTTCCGATGCGACTCGTCCCGCAGGTGCTCTCTTTCCAGCTTCCGGGCATTCATAACGGCTTCCAGGTTTGTGTTTCTGAACAGAGCTGACAAGGAGGGAGTTGAGGAGAACAAGGAACTCGACACACAGAGTGAATTCTGAGCATCATTCTTCCTGCGATTGGCACATCAAGACAACAGACCAAAGCTGGTTCATGGAAAGATTTAGAGCAGGGGGTCAGCAAATTTTTCCACAAGAAGCCAGTCCACCATCCCTAAGACCTTGTGGGGGGGCTGGACTATATTTTGGGGGGGAACCCCTCCACGGCTCTCCCCTCCCTTCTCCACAGCACCGGATGAGCCCCGGTGGCTGCTTACCTGTGCCATGCGAGCGGCAGGGCCTGGCGGCATGGAGGGACGATGAGCAGCGTGAAAAGGCTGGCTCCAGAGGGGCTGCTCTGCTTTAAATGGCGCTCAGCCAACTGTGGCTCCTGTGCCTTGCGAGCGGCGGCAGGACAATGAGTGGCGCAAAAGGGCTGGCTCCAGAGAGGGGCTGCTTAAAATGGTGCTCAGCCAACTGTGGCTCAACAAAGCCCTGCCCCCTTCCTCCTCTAGGCAGGATGGGGAGAAGTTAGGAGGAGGGAGGGAGGAGGCGCCACCGTGGTGTGGGTGGGGGGGAATGGCACAGCCCAAATGATCAGAATCCCCACGTGGCGATTCCTGGACCGTCCATGGGCCGGATCCAGAAGGCAATTGGGCCGAATCCAATCTTAGTTTGCTAACCCATGATTCAGAGTCTGGGATCCCTGCATTCAATTCCCACATTTTCCTCGTCTATACCCTTGATTCAACCAACCTCACTTGTATTGAGAGGTAATACAATGAAAACTATATAGCAGCTTGGAAATTAGGAAGTGCTATATAAATTACCTGTAATATTTTGTTGTATGAACTACAGTAACCCAGCCAATTTAGCTTACAAGAAACACATTAAACCAAGCTGGACCAGCATCCGATGATTGGCAGATTTTTTTCCTATAACAGCAGATATAAAACAACTCCATAACTCACTATCTACAGCTTGCAACCCAATCACCACCCAGTAAGATTGTTTCATCCTTGCCTTCTCAAGATTCCCTTCCAGGGATTCCATACGATATACAATTGCTACCCCCTCAGACACAGTATTCCCTGCCAATTACTACCCCACTTTTGTTCTCAAATAAGTCAACATTCCCCATCTCACGTTACTAATAATATTGTGGCCTCAGAATACCCTATTTGTAAGGATACATTTTTCGGAACTGACGGTCACTGCTGCTGCCCCAGGATCATCTTCGCCATCTGCTTCAGTGTGCCGAGTTAAGGGCATTTGGTCACTAATTAGGATTTGGGTTATAAGGAATGCTGTGGTGGGAGGGATGCTCTGGTGACGACACAGCATGACCACAACCCCCAAAAAAGGACTGCGAAGCCGTATAAGACACTGAAATCTGATTCCCCATTGCCAGAATATTCTGAAGACATTTGAGGAGTATGGCAAGAAGGAGATATCCAACCTCTGCTTCTTCTCAGAAGCTGACAATCAGATTCCTAGCCATTACAGCTCATAGGCAACAATAAACCTGATGTTCATGATTGTGTCTAGTCTGTTTTGAAAGCCATCTGTACTTGCACTCATCACAGCATCTCAAAGCAATTTTTCCTCTTAGTTTGCCTGACCAGTCCGCACCAGTTGGATATGTGACAATCACAGGCTGCCAATGTAATGGTGCATACTGCAATGAAATAAAAACCTATTTTCCATCTGATGGACTGCCATTGTTGAAATCTGTTTTGATTTAAGGGGCAGTTTCAGATCTCTTATTATCCTTCATTAACCCATAATACACACACTGATCCACAGTGAATCTTCTTACAGTCCAAGGCAGAGAACTTTACTATAAATATGCATGTACAGTGGAATCTTGGTTCTTGAACTTAATCCATTTTGGAAGTCCGTTCGACTCCCGAAATGTTCGAAAACCAAGCTGCGGCTTCCAGTTGGCACAGGCAACCCAGAAACAATAGCCGACAGCCGCATCGGATGTTTGGCTCCCAAAAAATGTTCAAAAACCGGAACACTTACCTCCAGATTTTCGGCATTTGGGAGCCAATTTGTTCGTCAACTAAACCCTTTGAGAACCAAGGTTCCACTGTATACTGTAATTTACTGTATACTGTAAACTAAGTTCATGGGGCAGAGCAGGCTATAAAGACCTCAAGGGCCTCTCCATAGGAATGCGGACCCCAGGATCATCTTTTGAGGCCCTTCTTCGTGCACGTCCTCCACGGGGTCCGGAGGATGGCAACAAAAGAATGGGCCTTTTCTGCACCGACTCCCTGTCTGTGGAATGCTCTCCCTAGGGAGGTTTGGCTGGCACCTTCATTATACACCTTTAGGCGCCAGGCAAAAACATTCCTCTTCGTACAGACCTTTGGTTGACCGACATCCAATGGTCTTTTAAAATGTGTTGGGAAGGAGGAGGTTTATTGGGTTGTGCATATATATATTCTGTGTTTTTACATTGTGATTTTATGTTGTGACCTTCCTGAGACCTGCGGGCATAGGGAAGTACAGTGGTACCTCTGGTTACGTACTTAATTCGTTCCAGAGGTCTGTTCTTAACCTGAAACTGTTCTTAACCTGAAGCACCACTAATGGGGCCTCCCGCTGCTGCCGCGCCGCCGGAGCACGATTTCTGTTCTCATCCTGAAGCAAAGTTCTTAACCCGAGGTACTACTTCTGGGTTAGCGGAGTCAGTAACCTGAAGCGTATGTAACCTTAAGCATGTGTAACCCGAGGTACCACTGTATACTTACTTACTTACTTACTTACTAACTAACTAACTAACTAACTAACAAATAATAATAATAGAGGGGGAAAGGAACCCATGGACTCCAGCCCCAGAGTTAATGGATCAGCCAGCCAGGGAATAGATTCAACATGATTTGGGAATTTGCAGCACAAAGGATATTCCTCATCATCTGTCACCTCAGCATACTGTGCGAGGAGGGCAGCCTTCTGTAGTGTCTCTTCCTTGGCGACCTCTTTGGGCTTCACCACGATTTGTGCCTGTTTTTCAATTATGTTAGCTATAGCTTGAATCTCATCTGGGAAGGAAAGGGGACAAAGCAAGGGTAAAGAAAAAGAAGTCCATGATCACCCTTCAATAAGAACAAGGACAACAACAAACAACAACAACATTTATACCCTGCCCATCTGGCTGGGTTTCCCCAGCCACTCTGGGTGGCTCCCAACAGAATATTAAAAACATGATAAAATATAAAACGTTAAAAAACTTCCCTAAACAGGGCTGCCTTCTAAAAGTCAGATAGTTGTTTATTTCCTTGACATCTGATGGAAGGATGTTCCACAGGGCGGGTGCCACTACCAAGAAGGCCCTCTGCCTGGTTCCCTGTAACCTCACTTCTCGCAGCCCTTGGAGCTGGATCTCACTGTCCGGGCTGAACGATGGGGATGGAGACGCTCCTTCAGGTATACCGGGCCGAGGCTGTTTAGGGCTTTAAAGGTCAGCACCAACACTTTGAATTGTGCTTGGAAACACACATAGGCGAGCTGAGTCCTATTTGAATCTCACCCTTGGGGGCTTATGTTCTGTAGTTACAGCACAGCCAAGATACTGGAGAGGAACAGCTTGTGGCCAGTTTTCATGTGCTATTTTGAGCACAAGGCGAGTAACGTTTGGAATCAACATCAAAACAGTGTGGTATTTTAAGGAGGCCCCTAAAATAACTTCTCGCCCAACTCATCCCAAATTGCTTGCCCGAAATGCATTTTTCAAATCTTGCATCACTTCCAGAAGATATTCAAGCTCTGATGACACATGGAGGGCAGCATAAAATGCTGCTTTGAGCTGAACACAGAAATCATGAAAGATGAAGGTCAGACCCAAGTCATTTTAAGAACACTAGGCATATTCCTACTACTCTTAAATAATTTGATTTTTAAAAATATGTAAACATCATTACATCCATATGTATTTATACGCAAGTGTTGTACATACAAGCATTCATAATATATTAGTGTTTAAATTTGTCATTTTACACATGTGAAATCAAGACCATCTTTGTATTTCCTTAGCTTGTAGATTAAAAGAGGAGCCTATCGATCAGGCAGCACATTACAGTATTTTACATAATTAAGCAAACATATCACAGGACTGTATTTTGCATTGCTAGCATTGCTCCTATTATCTGTGCAGTAATTCTCCAGTAACGTTAAATGTTTTCCCACCACAAGTGGCTCAAGTCTCCTGTTGCTGCTTTGCAGTACCAACATCTGCTTTCTGTACCATACATCTTTTGAATTTTCGAAGGCAAAAACCAATGTTCTGTTATAGCCAGACCTATGGAAAAATATCAAACTTTTATCAAACAGATAACCCTATTAACCTCTCGATAACTAATAAACCTTTCTGCCATTTATTCACAGAAGGCTCAAAAATCCTTATTAAATCTATTGTTTATAATCTTGTAGGTCTCATGTACTTTTGGTTTTGCTGTACTGCTATAGTTTTGAATTTATGCTTTAATATTTATTTTATTTTATATATACACTGTTTTTATTACAAGCTGCCCAGATAACTGTGTTATGGAGTGGTATATGGGTGCTGCCAAAAAATTTTTTTAAAAAAAAAATCTATAGGAAATGCATGCAATATAGACTAGGGGGTAATTTTTCCTTTAATCTGTAATTGCTCTTCATATTTATTTTATTTTACTTATTTATTTATCCTGTCCTTCCTTGCAAAGGAGCCCAGGCAGACAAACAATAAAGTGTTTTTAAAAATTATTTCAGTGGTACCTCGGGTTAAGTACTTAATTCGTTCTGGAGGTCCATTCTTAACCTGAAACTGTTCTTAACCTGAAGCACCACTTTAGCTAATGGGGCCTCCCGCTGCCGCCGCCCTGCCGGAGCATGATTTCTGTTCTTATCCTGAAGCAAAGTTCTTAACCTGAAGCACTATTTCTGGATTAGCGGAGTCTGTAACCTGAAGCGTATGTAACCTGAGGTACCACTGTATAAACAATTCCAATAAAGGTGCAGACTGAGAAAGATCTCAATTTAAAAGGATTGTTGTATAGAGGAAGGGCTTCAGTAGGTGCTGAAAAGCCAACAGAGACGGTGCTTGTCTAATATTCAATGGGAGGGAATTCCAAAGGGCAGATGCCGGAACACTAAAGGCCCAATTCCTACATTGTGCGGAACAAGATCTCCTGACAAGACAGTGTGTGCAAGAGATCCTCACCTGCAGAGTGAAAACAATTTTTCTAAAAAGCTTCCGTTATTGTTCCAGGGAACAGATGCCTGACAGATCAAGGGGGAAGGAAATAGAAAATAACAAATAGGGTAAGGGCAGAAATGGGAGAAAAGACTTTAAAGTTTTGGTCCAATAAGTTGAAAGCCACGCAGAAAGCATCCAGCAACCACTCCAGTGATGCCAAAAGGAATGTGAAATACCTTCTTTCTTTTCATTACTTCCGTCATTTTGGGCCTTTGACCACCTTTCAACGATTTCTCTGCAAACTTCTTGTAGTACATCTTCATCCTGATTAAAAGAAAAGATGCTTGTCAGTGGAAGAAAAAGGCTTGTCTATCACAAAGACACAGTAAGGGACAACTTGGGAGGCTTGGAATGCCAAACCTAGACCTGCCCCCTGGCCAATTTTTTTTTAAGCCCTCATAGCCCTCCCAGAATTTAACCAAGGTGTAGCAAAAAGTTTAGCTTGGTTGTTTTCATTCTTATTATGTATTTTGTGTTTTTTTTATAATGTAAAAAGATCTGCAGGTATAGGGTGGTATACAAATTTAATAAATAAATAAGAGAGATTGATACACTTTATAGCAGGCTTCCTCAACCTCGGCCCTCCAGATGTTTTTGGCCTACAACTCCCATTATCCCTAGCTAGCAGAACCAGTGGTCGGGGATGATGGGAATTGTAGTCTCAAAACATCTGGAGTGCTGAGGTTGAAGAAGCCTGCTTTAAAGCTACTTTGCTCTTTGTACATCACAAGTCTGTAACATGTTTATATTTGTATGGTATGCTATGCCCGAGTACAGGTAAAGAGACTAATTCACAGAGCTCTTCAGGTCCACAGACTGATGACTGTTGTGGTAATACAAAATACGAGATCTTTGCTCTCTCTCTCTCTGAAGCATGATGGGAGTTACAACTCATGGAGAGAATTATCTGATAAAAGAAAATGGCTGGCATTCACAGTTTACCAACCTGGTCCTATGAGATGCATGAAGTGGGGAACCTCCCAATTATGCAAGGAGCCTCAATGAGTACAGGTCCTCCATGTTTCAGAAGCTCACCCTTCAACCCACAGGGGGCTGAGGAAACACAACAAGAGAGAGGACAGGACTCAACATCCACAGTCCCATGAATAAATAGAACACCTGGGGAGGGCTATTATCTCTTTGGAACCCTTACGACAACCGTGCAAGGTAGATCGGCATTGTCCCCACATTGAAGATATGGGTGGAGGGGGAGCTGGTTGCGGGAGGCTTAAAAAGGATACCAACATACCAACCAAGTTCATGACAAGAGGCTAGATCAGGACGAGGACCAGTGTGTTGAAATTTCTACATTGCAGGGGGGTTGGACTAGATGACCCTCGGGACCCCTTCAAACTGTACAATGATTATATGAGCCTTTTTTGCCAATACACCACACAAGACTCATTGCATGGGGCTACCTTTGAAGAAGGGACGTGGGTGGCGCTGTGGTCTAAACCACAGAGCCTAGGCCTTGCCGATCAGAAGGTCGGTGGTTCGAATCCCCGCGATGGAGTGAGCTCCCGTTGCTCGGTCCCTGCTATTGCCAACCTAGCAACTTCAAAGTGAAGTAGATAAATAGGTACCTCTCCGGTGGGAAGGTAAATGGTGTTTCCGTGCGCTGCTCTGGTTCGTCAGAAGCGGCTTAGCCATGATGGCCACATGACCTGGAAGCTGTACGCTGGCTCCCTCGGCCAATAAAGCGAGATAAGTGCCGCAACCCAGAGTTGTCCGTGACTGGACCTAACAGTCAGGGATCCCTTTACCTTTGAAGGTGACCCGGAAACTACAATTCATCCAGAATGTGGCAGCTAGACTGCTAACTGCGAGTGGCTACCCATACCCATACCATGTTTCCGAGCACAATTAAGTGATGGTGCTGACCTTTAAATCCCTAAACGGCCTCAGTCCTGTATACCTGAAGCATCCTCTCCACCTCCATCGTTCAGCCCAGATACTGAGGTCCAGCTCCAAGGGCCTTCTGGCGGTTCCGTCACTGTGAGAAGTGAAGCTACAGGGAACCAGGCAGTAGTGGCACCCACCCTGTGGAACACCCTCCCATCACATGTCAATGAGATAAACAACTATCTGACTTTTAGAAGACATCTGAAGGCAGCCCTGTTTAGGGAAGTTTTTTAATGTTTGATGTTTTATCGTGTTTTTAATATTCTGTTGGGAGCCGCCCAGAGTGGCTGGGGAAACCCAGCCAGATGGGCAGGCTATAAATTATTATAATATTGACTGAGATCCCCCACCCCGCAAAAAAACCCCACAGCTCAACTAGTTCTGTCTGGTTCAAGTTGACTTATGCTTTTAATGCTTGATGTTTTATCGTGCTTTTAATATTTTGCTGGGAGTCGCCCAGAGTGGCTGGAGAGGCCAGTCAGATGAGCGGGGTATAAATAAATTTATTATAATAATAAATTTATTATTTATTATTATAGCGGACTCTAGGGTTGCGAACGTGATCCTTGCGGGAGGCATGTTCGCAACCCACAGCGTTCGCAACCAGGTTGCGATTCGGTGCTTCTGCACATGAGTGATTTTGTAGGTCTGCACATGCGCGAGCGCCGAAACCCAGAAGGAACCTGTTCTGGTACTTCCCAGTTCGGCGTGGTGCGCAACCCGAAAACGCGCAACCTGAAGCGTCTGTAACTCGAGGTATAACTGTATTATTATTATTTTATATACAGAGACCTTTCGGCGCCTGGGGCAAGACGTGCCACCGACACAGATGGGCTCCAGCCCCCTGGTGGGGTGGGAGGTGCATGTCACCCACATGAAGGCAGAAAGCTAGCTCGGGGGGCTAGACTGCTGCACTTTTCTAGGCACCTTTCGACCACCCCTCACAACCGGCCGCCCGAGGCAGCTGCCCCCATGGCAGGGCCGGGCCTGTGGGGAGGAGTCGAACCCACTCCTCGCTACCCAGATCAGCTCTCTCCCTCAGAAGACACTCACGGGAGAACCTGGCTCCCAGGGGCGAAATAAGCTCCAGAACAGAGAGGCGGCACCCGCGACTGCCCGGGTCGCCTCGGCCCCCTTTCCCCCTCGGTTTCTCCCCTCGCGCTGCAATGCGGCGGGTGTCGCGCTCACCTGCTCCCCCGCCGCCAGCGCCCCCGCCAGCCCTTCCAGCCGCTCGGCGTCGCACTCGGCCTCGCGCAGCACGCCCCGTATGTACCCGCCGTACACGTCCCCGTCGAGACCCAGTGCAGCCAGGCGCCCCTCCAGCCACGGCTCGAACGCGCAGGGCGCCGCCATCTTGGCTCGCCACCAACCCTGGGGAGGAGGAGGAGGAGGAGGAAGCGCGCCTGCGCGGCGGCGGCGGAAGCTGCGCATGGGCAGTACGGGCCAGCTCTCGCTTAACCGCCTCCTCAGGAGGTTTGCAGAAAGGGCTGAGGCGACGCCCGCGAAGAGCCGGTTTCTCTGTCAGGGCGCGCGGGACAAAAACAATGGCAAAAGAAACCAGCCCGTGTCGCTTCTTGCCGAGGGCGGTGAGAGAAAAAGAAGCGCGTTGCTGGGAACCCGCGAGGATATGTCACGGGGTTCATTCAGACGTGCTCGGAAAACCCGAGAGTTGCCCAAGTTGCTGCCATTCTGCGTGTCAGCGCAATACTCAAGTGCAGACCCTCGTTTCGCTCCATTGGGATACTTGCCCCCCAAGGAAGCGCCCCTTTGGTTGGGATTTAGCGAGAAACCCGCCTTGCAAACCGCCTCGGTGCAATGCTTTGGACAGATCCTGCTGCTTTCAGAGCGATCCTTGCTCTCTCCCCTTCCTTGGAGGTTTTGAAGTAAGAGTTTTTTAGATGTGATGGATGATCTAGCTGAGATTCCTGCACATGCAAGGGGTTGGAGTAGATAACCCTCGGGATCCCAACTCCACAACTCTTTGCAGAGGGTTTTGCCATTTGGAGCGGCAGAGAAAGTCTGCTCCAGCCCTTTGTCCTGACAGACCCGGTATTCCTCATTTTTCCAAGATAAACATTGCCCTGGAAAGACTTACTTTTCCAGACATAACGCACCTCGCACCGTCCCAGTCACTCACCTGTTAACATGCTCCAGTTGGTCAATGTCCTCCTTAAATCGGGGCATCCAGAACATGGGTGTAGCCAGGAGATGGGGAGGGGGCAGCTGCCCCCCTAAATCAGGTAAAAAATAAAAATACTTAACTGGCTAATTGTGTTGCAGATAACCCAGTTCTGCCCACCCAACCCAAGCCTGGCCTCCAAAAAATAAATCCTGGCTACGCCCATGGTTTTCTCAACAGTTTCCACTGTGGAAGGATGTGTGGATCCAGAATTAGCCTCCACAGTCACAGACTCACTGGTAAGACCGTGTTCATGGAAGACAATCTTACTCGGCTACGAGTGATTGCCAAAGAAGAAGAAGAAGAATGGAACTCATATGTATACACTGTACCTTTAGAGCACATTTGAAGGACACTATTTCCCCAAATAATTATAGACACTATAGTTTGTTACAGGTTGCTGGGAATTGTAACTGATGGGTAAACAATGGCCAGGATTCTTGGAGGGAAATGATGTGTTTTGAATGTACATTAAATGTACATTAAAGGTATAGTGTTTTCACAAGCATAAACTGCATTAGCTTCTGGATTCTTTTCACATGATCAGCCACCACCACCCATTTTTTAAAAATGAGACCAGCATTTACTCACCACCAGTCTCCTGGCATCTGACCCATTCTCCAATAATTCTGAAAGATCACTGTCAGTAGCTCTGAAATACAGTAAAGTATATCAATACAGTAAAACATCAAGCCAGCAGAGAAGGCAGTTTAAAACTGGCCTCAATAGTCAGGAAACACCTAAGAAGAAAGTTAAGTTTTTATGAGGGGAACATACTGTCAAGGAGGAACAAGTTCTTTAAAATCCCCATCCAAATTCAAATGGCAGGTCAAATTCAAATAGCTGTTCAATTTTTCTTATATTTACTTTAAAATACTAAAAACAGCTACAGTGCAAGATTCAAGTAGCAGGTCAAATGTATGGTGTTCAGCACAGGCGAGTGAAAACAATCAGTCTTTATAGCAACTGTAGGAGTCTGGCAACCAACCAGCCACCTGCCTCTGCTAGTCAATCGATTCCTGATGCATAACCCTGTTTGAGCCCACCGTATTTCAGATGTGTTTGTTCCATAAAACAGGTGCCATCGGAACCATTACATGTGCTGTAAAATGAAAATGTTCAGAAGTCATTAAATATATATATATACTTGGAAAGATAGTGCTACACAGAATCAATGCTACACACACACACACACACACACCTTAAAAAATGATTGCTTTGGGGTTTCCAGTATTCATTGCAACTGTAGTCTAGGCTGGAAGGAAAAAACCCTGCTTGTTCTCCTAAATGAACCTGTCATTAATTGACAAACAAAATGCCTAGTAAGCTGTCTTCAACCCTTGTCATGTTGACACCTTTCCATTCATTCTGAATAATTCAGACATCCGGGAGGGTAAGAGAGAAACTGGCCTGCCCAGAGTGATGCTGAATGCAATGTCTGTACTCAGATTACTATGTAGAAAGCAAACACTCCATATCATTTGGTGTAGATGAGTTACCCTAAAGCACCTTAACCCTCAGAGTTCTCCATCTTGCACTTTTGGGTGGCATGATTGATAGAAAACCATCGCTTGCAGCTTTTCCCACCATGGGATTGCAGTGATGATGAGGAAAGGCACCCACACAGCTGGGACAGTAACAGAACCCTGATTTCCCCACCTCCAACCCCAGTAACCTACATCAGGGTTGCCAACCAGCCAAACAAAATTAGCTTGGCCTACTCTTCTGTCCATGATTAATAACTGCTGCACAACATACTTAAATGGACAGTCAGACTGGAAGTGAACCTGAGGGTCATCTAGTCCAACCCTCTTCTGGTGCATCATCTTTAAACTGGGCTTCAAGCATGGGCATAGCCAGGATTTATTGGGGGGGGGGACCTCAGTTAAGTGATATATAGATACAGTATACGAATGATGCGGGTGGCGCTGTGGTCTAAAACATAGAGCCTAGGACTGGCCGATCCGAAGGTCAGCAGTTCGAATCCCGGCGACAGGGTCAGCTCCCGTTGTTCTGTCCCAGCTCCTGCCCACCTAGCAGTTCGAAAGCACGTCAAGTGCAAGTAGATAAATAGGTACTGCTCCGGTGGGAAGGTAAATGGCATGCATATATATATATATATATATATATATATGGGGGCAGCTGCCCTCCCATGGCTACACCCATGGCTTCAAGTGGACAGCCCTTTCAAAAGAGGACTGGTTCATGTAAATCAGGATACATCAGCACCCCACCCTATTGCCATGTGAGCCCATGGTTTTTTAACAGAGCCCGAAGCAGCTGACTTTCAGCCTCATAACCAATAAATCCATTGAGCTCCCAGTTAGTGGGTGGGAGAGCATAGCTGCAGCATAGGATATGTAGCCTGATTTATGAAGTAACCATGAATAACAAGGAAATCCGAGGCAGAGAGGTGGTGTTGAGTGAACCTCTCCCTCGCCTTTCGCTTGAAACCGCGCTCTTGTTCCGTTTCCCAATGCATAACGCGATCCGAATTGCATCTGGAGGAGTTTCCTATGTAAGCCTCCCCCTCTCAAGCCCCTCCCTCTCCCCTCAGTTTTGCCCTTCCCGGCCGCCGTAGCTCACAAACTCTTTAACCATAGCTATTGGCAGGAAATTTAAACTTGGTTCATTGGCAGTTTCGGGAAAACAAGGTCTTAAATTCATGGGCGGATGAAAGTTTGGCATGTAAGTAAAACGTTCGGTTTTTAAGGAATGCTGGCTGAGGATCCCATCTCACTGATGGGATCTGCTTAAAGCCTTTTACTCAATTGCATTGTTTTTGGTCTCGTGAACGTGTTTGTTCACACATTATTGCTAAATAGCCTTCGCTATGTTAATGGGTCCCGCTGTGATTTTGCATGGTGTTCCCCAGTGAATGCAAGAGTTATGATTCCCCAGTTACTCTGCGTGTTCCTCATTTATTTTCTTGAATTGACAACGTGCCTGCAAGGGCGGGTGCGCGGGGGGGCGAGTCTGAAACATGCGGGTCATTGTGAAAAAAAAGCAGTTTTTGTCATGTGAATTTGGAGGAAAAGAAAGCTGTGAGTTGGCTGAGGCATGGTTGGGGTGCAGTTATTCTCTCTTTAAGGGCCTGTTACAGGGTTAGTGCATTTGACTGCCTTAATATGAGGTTTTCTGGTCTGCAGTATAGCAGAACTTTTATCTGTGCTCTTGGGAACTCTTTGTTTTAAATATTCTTGGAGCTTCAGCAAACGTCCTCAGAAAGCGGCAACTTCAAGGATGATAACTTTATTTTCCTTTTATTTTAGCCTTCTGAAGTGATTTTTTTTAATGCTGAGGATTCTGCTGGCTTAGCCCATCCCAGCTTTCCCTGCTAAAAATGGCTGACTGGACGCTTCGGCACTGGCAAAATCTTGGTGAGTGAATGCACCCATGGGGTTATAGGGACGCGGACTTATAAAAAATATTGGGGGGGCCCGGGAAAGCTCATGAATAATAAATAAGCTCATGAATATGCAAATAAAGTGGCGCCGCCTCCTCGTGAGCGAATAGGGGAGAGCGTGCTGCGCCTATTAATCAGCTCCAAAGGAAATTGGGTGGAGCTTTTGCTCGGGAGGGAGGGCAGGAGGCATGCAGCCCGCCCCTCCCTGTGCATTTTGGGCTGGGGGAGGGGCGGCGATGGCGCTCTGCTGGAGGGGCGCCGGAGATTATTGGGGGGGCGGAGCCCCCCCAAACGAATTTTTGAGGGGGCTCGGGCCCCCTCAAGCCCCATGGAGTCGGCGCCTATGGCATATTCAGCTCTCTTCCTAACTTTTACTCGGAGTAGACCCACTGAAATGAATGGCCATGGCAAACTTGGGTCCCTTAACTTTGGTGAGTCTGCTCTGAATAAAAGCGGAACACAACACACCACCTCTGGATGAGGCAGAGTCCCCTAGCCAGCATAGATAACTGTGGATTTATTTTTATTTAAAATGCTTCTATGCTGCCTTTAAAAGCAAAAGCTCTCTCAAAGTGGCATCCATAAAAGCAGCCTAATGCAATCACAAATAAAAAAGATTGACAAGCCAATACATAATAAAACAGACAGATGAAATTAAAGTCCAATATAATCAAAATCAACAGCAGCAGGAAAACATAGCAATTTCTTTTAATTCCAAAAATCTTCAAGGAAAACTCGGCAAGAATAGTTGAGTTCTCGGATCTTTCCAGGAGCCCAGTTGATAAAGAGTTCCAGAGCCTT